TCATGCAAGACCATAAAGTTGGAAACTTTATGGTCAAAGACGACATTTGTCGCTTGGATATGACTTTGGACGTATGGACTTGATGTATTAAGCTCTTAATGAGACATGGGGCTGGCCAGGTGTGTATGTTGGGCGTACCAAATGGTACGCTACTTAAGGTCTCGACTTCTGAGTCAACCGAAGTATGCCCCGCATACAGATGAGTACGCCCAACGTACTCGGCTGGGTTGAATCGGTTAGTTTGTTGACTTTGACCTTTGACCAAGTTTGACCTAAGGGTATTTTAGGTAATTTGAGTGGCATTTGAGATTGGTCATTATTTGGTGTTTAGGTGACCAGTTGAGTTGTCATTCGGAGCTGTTTTCTGTCAGAGACCTTTTCAGACTGAGAGGTGAGTTTTCCCTCACTGTACTCTGTAACATCTCAAAAATCATGACAAAAAAATTTTCATTTTTATTTATTAAAATAACCATAATTATCAAAATCATTTCATTCTAAAACATAATTCATAGTATCAAATCAGAGTATCACATCAAAACTCATATCAATATATCAGAGTAAAAACATCCCAGGCTAAACAAAATGGTGTGTGCACTGCAGTCATCTCGAGCTCTTCCCCTTGCTACCGGAAGTACCTGAAACCAAAACTGAAAATTATAAGCACGAAGCTTAGTGAGCCTCCCCAAACTACCACATACCATACACATACTCATTCTACTAGGAGATACGAGCCCCACCCACACTCAAGGAGATACGGGGCCCGCCCACACTCGCCTAATCTAGGAGATACGGGCCCTGCCCACACTACGTTGTCTACGAGATACGGGCCCCGCCCAAACTCGTCTATCTACGAGATACGGCCCCGCCCACACTCATCTACTATGAGATACGGGCCCCGCCCACACTCAGCTACTAAACATACATACAAGTATCACACAGACAACAAGTATAATCAAACCTATCAATCAGTCCTATATCCATACTCAAATAATGCTATGAGATACGTGCCCCACCCACACTCAGCTATCTATGAGTTTGGATTTGTCACAAACCTTGTCTTGTGATTATGGTTATGACAAATTCACATGGATAGGAACACATACACTATAAAATCTAAGTGGAAAAAGGTTTCTCTCCTTCATGAAAATGATTGTGAGGAAATGCATTCACTAGTAGATTTTAGAGTTAGCATATGTGATATTTGCGTTCTCGAATTTGAATATGATTACGACATCCCTTTTCATAGTTCGAATTGTGAGAAATGGCAAATAGTTTGAACATTCAGACTTATTGCTTTAAGTTCTGAAAGGTTTAAACACACACTTGTACTATCTAATGAATGGTGTATGAGCTTGAGAAGTCTAGATAAAGACTTATCGAAGCACCGTGTATCAGAAATCTGAACTTTGGTATGAAAGTCAATATGTATTGATTTCTAGAAGTCCAGCTGATTTCTGGATACATGTTAAAGCTAGTGGGAGCATAAGTGTTATGCTAGTAAGGACATAATTATTGTGGTAGTGGGAGCATAATCATTATGATAGGTGTTGCCGAGTTAGCAATGTTATTTATAGGAAACAAAGTTTGGATTTGTAAAGTTGTAGAGTTTGAAAAGTTGTTTTGCTATAGTAAGGGAGATGATATTTATACTTTATTTCGAATCTAAAAGTTTAGATTGAAGTATTAATCGAACTTAGTCATGAGTATATATGAATAACAAGTTGAAATGTTTCAACGTTGGAAATTCCATATATATATAAATATTATAACAAGAGATTTGTAAAGTATCGTATCTTTATTGGGAATCGTATCCCATATGCTTCGAGTATAGGATCGATTACATATGTTATAATATTCGCCTGCTCTGATTTTCCAAATGCCTAGGGCATTAAGAGGGAAAAAGGACCAGAACTTGATATGACTAAAATTATTAAACAACTGTCGAGGACAATCTAAGGTTTACCGAAGATTGGTTGCTTGTGGACAGTTGGAAGTATAGTAATGGATGAACCATGTTGATATGATTATGAATATATAGGATTCTATTTAGAATGGATAATCATATGGAAATTATGGAAATGTTTCCATAATGAGAGTTGGATATTAAGAATCTATGTGTAAGTTAGAAACTTTTATGCGAGAAGGGTGTTCAAGGAACGTACCTTGAATGTGAGACTTCATCTCCATGGAATTGTTCTGTAACAAATCTGCAGTGGAATGTTTTGTAATATTATTGGCAAAGTCTCTGTAACTTTGGTGCCTTGACATTACAAAAGGAATATTGCATGGAAGTTTAGATCTAACAAAATTCTAATAGTGACAAGAATTTGGTATTCTTACACTTGCGATAAGGATTTGGAATTGTGAAATGAGCATCATTGGAAATGTGTTCAATGGATTTATTTCACAAAGCAAGGACCATAGGTAAACATAGTGTGCATGCTTGGAGCATGGGATAACTATTGTTTCAATTCAAGTATTAAGTTGATTAGTCAAAACTTTATACAATGAATAATGTGTAATCAATATGGTGATTAAATAATAAGTGTTTTATTTATACTCAAAAGTTTGAGGCCATATTGGATTAGGTTATTCTTGTGTTTCACTTCGCATGTTTGACTTCCCGAATAATAAGATTATTCAAACATCCACAGTCAATCATACTTTGGAAGTAAGTAATGAGGTAAGAATGTCATGAATCCAACTGTAGATTGTCTAAGTGTTTAGACATAGCACAAGTTTGCTGCAGTGTTCATGAGTACTCCTGAAATAAGAATTTGAGTATTGGATTAAACCCACGCTCACTTGAATCACTTCATGGATTTTATCACGAGTGATTGTGAGACGATAATATCTTATATTCTTGAAATGGAGACATATGAGTTGTTGTTTACGAGTCAGTTGCGCATTGATAATACGTAAACACATCAGTAACTTTATGTTATAAAACGTATTGTTGTGTGTAATTTGATGAGTAAATAGTACAAGCATATGAGTCAAAGTTTATCCATTCCTTTAACCCAAAGTGGGATAAAAGTGATATATGTGGGCCCCCTCAATGATTTAGTGATGACACCCTAAGCGCTTGGCCAAGCCTGGACTGATTTGATTTGTTCAATTAGTCAGTCATCATAAATCGGAAATCGGGAAACAGAACTTGGACAGAGAGAATGATTATAATCCATGTCTCATGTCTATAGGATATCTTGTAGAACGGAAGAATATTTGATCCCTTATCTTAAGGACGCGTTACTGATAAAATCAAAGTTTGACAACGGCTTTTAAGAGCTACGATTGCTAATCGGATTTGAAATCACATTGACAGTTATAGTTATTAGACTTATCCAAGTGGGAGACTGTTGGATTAGGTGTTTAAGCCCATAACTATAATTGGTATGTACTTGACCCGAGAGTAGCATGGTCCTTTTGGGTTGCCTTCACCATAGCAATTTGATAGGATGGATTTTTTAGAAAGAGGTTATTTGTGATTTATTGATATATTATATGAATAATATATTAATTGAGAAATCGTATTATTTAATTGGTATTGATCAAGAATTAATTTGGAATTAATTTAGTGATCAAAAGAGACTGATTAAATTTACAGAGACTGATTAGGTAAATCAATAATCTTATAGTTTGGGCTAATGATCCATGTTGATTAGGGATGGACTAAATCTATATGAGAGTCCATGAAGGTTTAGTCCAAATGTCCTATCAAATGTGAAGAGTCCATGATGAATTAGGGTTTACAAGATTAAACCCTAGGAATTCCACACTATCAAAATAACCCCTAAGCACCCTAAAATTGGCCAAGACTTCTAAGAAGAAACCCTAGCCGTTTTTGGTGCTTCCTAGCCTCACTCTCATAATCCTCCTTTTGTTTTTTGGTGTTTGTGACTTATTAGAAGTATCACATTTGAGGTACTAAGCTCTTGAAAGGCCAAGAACTACAAGCTACAACTAAGAGATATTCATCAAACTAGATTTTATGTTGTAAATCTCCAATTGTATGCTAGTTAGGGTTCATGCTTTGGATGAAATGAAATTGCATGTATAACTTGAGAAAACTTAGATCCAAAGCATTAGGGGTTGTATGTGCACCATAGGATTGTTATAGTGCTCAAAACCCATCAGCATAGGTACGAAACCTTTCTTAGAATCTTGCATCTTGAATTTCTTCAAGATCTTATCTAAGTATGTACTTTGGCTTAATCCAATTAGTCTTTTAGATCTATCTCTATAAATCTTTACAACAAGTATGTACGTTGTGTCTCCCAAGTCCTTCATACAAAAACATTTCAAAAGCATATTTTCATGCCGAGTACATATCATGACATATATGATCGATCTTATAGTATAAACATATGGAACTCGACTCATCATTTCATGTTCTTCACTAGAATTGGGACACCGAGTCTTAGTCACTGTCATGCCATGTTGCATGGCTCATCTTCACTTCTTAAGAATCCATACTCTTTGAAATCACTAAATCATAGATTCCAACTACGATAAGAAACACCCCCCCCCCCCCCCCCCATGGAAATGAAAACCATCATAACAAAATGACTCATATTCCACGGTTCCATTCTTTCGTGGCAACAAAACATGATTTTTTTCCCATCAAAATGCTCCATTCCATTCACTTCTTGATTACTACATACAAACGCTACTTAAAGCTTGAAATTTAGGGACAAAATAGTTAAGTGACTGAACAAGTCCTTTGTTCGATGATTAAAATAACGGTTAACATTGTTTTTAAAAAATAATGTATAACTTATAAACATTATGTTAAATTTAAACTTTTTTCTAAAACATTTCCAAACCAAGGATTATTACAAAACTTGTTTTTAAAATAGTATAATGTCAAGGAAATAACATCGACAAAGTTTTTCACTAGAAAAAAAAAAAAAAAAAATCTTGGTCGCCCCTGACAAGTAGAACCCAAACCCGATTGAAATCAAAGATATCGAACGAAAAGCTTATATTTGACCCGGATTGTTTCTGTCCAAATCCCCAAATCGGACTCAGTTTTAGATTAGTCGGCGAAACCCTAACCGAGGCTCGTGCCAGAGCAGAGGAGAGATTCAGGCTTCCGACTTCCTTCCGGCTTCTTCTGCTTTGAGCTTAAGGTGCGATTTCGAAATCTATCTCGTGACTTCTTCTGTGATTTCTCTTATCTTTGCTCGTAATTGATTTGAGATTTGTGTTATTTTGTGTATTTTTTTTTTATGAATCTCTGCTGCTAGTGACGATGAAAACATCAGGCTGTTGATATATTTATGCTTCATTTTGTGCTATATTTGCTTATTTTGTTTGACATTCATAAAAGTTTATGTATTTGCAGCTTAAAAAAAGCTTTATATGTCTTTGAAGTTTCTATTAAATTATTTTGCTTCTTAAGCTTAATGTGTTTAAGTGTTGAGTTTCTTCATTTGTGTGGTTTTAATTGGTTGTGAAATTCCTGCAATTTAATATACGTATGAAGTATGCATTTTATGTGGCTCTTTTGTATCTCCATAGCCACTAGGGTTCACGAGGCACCTAATTATGGTTTCTGGTGGGCAAGGCCTTTAGGCAACATGCTTCTTATAAGAAACCACTATTAAAACAACCAGAAATCTACGTGAGATAAGCTCTTAAATTCTGTGAAAATGACAGCAAATAATAGAACAGGAAGTTCACCAAGTGTTTGGCTAACTCAGCAAATTGGTGCACACTACAAAGAATTTGGTATCCACATTTCTGAATCATGAATCATGATAATCCAAAGTTAAGAATGTGGATCATGAATGTCCACTAGCTACAAAGTGCTGCAATAGTACATGTGTTTTGTCTTCCATGGAATTTTAAAATGAACACTTTTGATTTTGACATTCACCATTTATATTTATACTTTATATTAAATAGTTATGCCTCTCCACTTAGTAAGTAATGGTAACATGCTTTGACACCAATTGCATTGTAGTTGTCATTCCATTTACTACTTCTTCCACAATTTGAATTGAATGAAACTATACTAGTATCTAACTGTAACATTGAATTGCTGAAACCAAAACCTAATTCCAGATAAACTAATGGAAAGGGAGACTTATATATCACCATAAGTGAAGGAACTGATACTATTTAACTAACAAGTAATGTGTAATTGTGTATGTCTGATTGTTTGTAGTTGGAGATGATCTGCTGATATGAGTAGATTATCCTTTAGGCCAAGGCCCCTTGACATTCACAAGAAGCTTCCCATTGTAAAATCTATAAAAGATTTTGAAGATGATGATACCCCAACATCTACACGTACACAGATGCTTCGCCTTGTTGCTGAAGCTGATAATGATACCCAGGTTCTTGTTAACATTTGTTTTTTCTGTATATGTCTTTTTCTTTTTGTCAGTTTGAGTTTCTTTTAGGTTCAAATTTGATTTTTATAATATCTTTAGGTACACCAAGTTGCTAGTAAGAAAACAGTTTCTGAAATACCAACTCCTGAGTATGTTATAGTGGATACATATGAAAGAGATTATTCTCCCACATTCAATCAACCAGCATCTTACCTACGTGCAAGGGGAGGTCTATAAAATACCAAACTGTTAATTTTTAATTATATTCTCCATTAATATATTCATGTTAATAATAAAATCATAATATTTCCAGCACGAGCTGAACTTGGAGACTTTGTTGAGTATGATCTTGACAATGAAGATGAAGATTGGCTTCAAGAATTCAACAAAGAAAGATTGATCCTTCCAGCTGAAAAGTACAACTCCTTTTATGCTTCTTCTTCTCTTACACATAGTTTAACGTTAAATTTCTTTTTTTTTTGGTAGATTTGAGACTATTATATTTAAGTTAGAGGTGTTGGATCATAAGGCTCGTGAAAGAGCAGGAGTTATAACTCCTACACTTGGCTCACCTATACCTGTACTTTTGACATTTGATGCTGCAGTTGAGGTATTTTTCATTTTTAGTATTATTATGATATTATCACAATCTATATAAATCTTATGTTTTTTTTTTGCAATTTGCACACTCATATCTTGACTTTTATATATTTGTAAGGCCCTTCAAGCTCTTTCCATACAGTATGGGGTATTCCAGTCAATTTACAGTTACTGGAAAGAAAAGGTATCTTATTTTTTAACAATGAGTACTCTTGGTTTTATGCTTTTTAATTTTTGCTTACAAATTTGTTCCTTTTTTTTATCAGCGTGAAAGATGGCTTAAACCTGTTCTACGCCGCCTGCAGGTTAGTTTCCTTTTTCAAATGACCATTTTGCCCCTGAATGGTAAAAAAACCTTTTTTTTTTTTTTCCTTTTTGTTGTTATTACAGCCACCTCCTCCGGTTAATGACACGAACCCATACAATGTATTTAGACCAAGGGAGAAAGCTCACAGACTTCATACAAGAAGGGTAAGTCTGTCAATTCTTCATATGTTTACATAATCTAAGCTATTAAAAAATGTTTATATATTTTCAGATGCAAAGAAGAGAAAACAATGTCCAATCATTTGAAAAGCTTCGCCAGGTCAGCTTTTTCACCCATATATTTTTCCCATCCTATCTTCTTGTTCTTATCTTACATTTTATTTGTCAATCAGGTGAGACGCAATCTTGATCAAGCCAAAAACTTACTAGAAGCTTTAATCAAGGTACCCTCACACACACACACACACATTTCTTTTAATTTTTTTTATTTTTTTATTTTTGGTAGTGATACTGACTAGATGAAGAATGTGTGCAACAGAGAGAGGAGAAAAAGAGAGATGTAATGGAAAGTGAAGTGAGCTTGCAAAGGATACAAATGAAATACAAGGTAAGTTATAATGGAATGAATGTCTTTATTAACTTTTTATGATATTAATATATAATAGACTTATTATGGATTTATTTATTTTTTCAGAATGAAACAGAGCTTCTAGAAGACAGTTTAGCACTTCCTGAAATGCCATCTTTCCCTCAACAGTCTAAATTTGTTTCAAGTGAAGATGAATATTTGGAATCTGATGATTTCCCACTCCACAACAACAACAACAACAACAACCGAATTCGTTTTCAGCCTCATGGTTTAATGGACACACCAAGGGTGATTATGCCTTCTGGAGTAGGAAGCATGAAGAGAGATATAAGAAGAAGACCTGTTCCATATTCTTGGCTACATAAATTGGTACATCTTTTTTCATACAAAATATATTTTCTACTTATTTTAATTATCAATTTTTGGAATGTGTACAGGATCCGGTTGAGCCATTGTTGCTATTTACAAAACCTTTAGTGGCAGAGAAGTTGGCGGCCGTAGGGATAGTGCCGCCGCCGCCACCATCCGGTGGCGGCGGTGGTGGTGGTCACAATTTCCGTGGGAGGATTGGGAGAGGGGGGAGGATAGTATTTGATAGGTGGAATCCACTTATGCATACCCCAATTGAGTGTGGTGGTGATTCCCTCCTTTATATGCCTCCTAAACCTCGATCATCAACACATAATTCATCTTTTCAGTGAGATCAAAATCAGTGTTGTATTTTCTTTTGTGTTCAACTCAAGCTCGACACTATTTATTTTGTACATACAAGGAAATAGTTGCAACAAAATGTAGCTTCTAATCTCCCTCTCTAGGTGTGGTTTTAATATTGATTTTAACAAAAACTGATTTGGCTAAATAGGATTAAGAAACCTCAAGGGTTTAAGCTAAAAAATTGGACAGAATGTGTTTAAGTGATTGGTGTTAAAAAGAATTGCATGCTCAAAAGAGTTGTACTATGTGCAGTAAAACAACCGATATGAGAATATCATGTTGAATGAATATGCTGGACTATTTTATTATTTCTAACGTGATTTTTGCCAAGAACAATACAAAATGTGATTGTTAACCAAATTCAGATTTAATAAAAAATAATAATAAAATAAAGCGATGATAGAAAAATAGTGAAACAGAGTGCTACAAAATGTAAATGACGATTATTCCTCAAAATAAGCAAATGAAATGATAATCCTAAATGTATATAAAAACATTACAAATATACATGTCAAAAGAGCATGTCGAATATGTGTAATCTATTTTAGAATGCAATTCTACATGATATAAGTCTTATCGAATATGTCCAATCATATAACAACATTATAGAATATACTGTAAGAAAAAAAAAAAAACTAAATCATTAGAAGATCCAAATTGAATGCTTCTATCCTATGTGCATAATATGATATAGTGACGAAGACGATACAACAATGAGAATCCCAATGAGTCCAAATTTCCCACATTCACTTAAAACTCCATTAATAGCCCGATATGATGCGATCGGAACAATCAAAGTTTAACCCGACCAACATCCTAAAAAACAAATTGATCCAAAAGCTATAAACCAAATAGATGAGCCGATCAAAATCTAAAGTGAAAATCATACTATTTAAATACTTGAAATATATAATTCCCTTTTTTTTAATCATAAATGTCATTTGACTTTTGAGGTTTTTAACGGGATGCAGGAAAAACCCACCAACATAAAAATAGTAGTATACTTTGCCTTGCTGCCACTGTTGAAAGTTTTGATCATTTTATCACTTTTTGTATGACAATTTTCCCTTGATATTTCAAATATTGAAACTGCCACCATCATAAAAATAGCATGTGCTTTTATCCATGTACTAAGGCATCATTATTTCACTACAAATAGAGAAACTCAAAACAGAACGAAAAAATCTAAAGAACAAAAACAACAGAAAGATGGAGCAGTGAGAAATGGACATGGCATAATGTGATTGGATAGATTTCTTAAATCACTATGACTTAGTGCAATGACAAAAAAAAAGCCTTGGATCCTTAGTCAAACTAACTTTCAACATAGAGTGGCCTCATTGGATAGATTTATTAAATCATACTGACTTATATTATCGGCCCTGAGGGGCGGTCCAATTAGACTATAGGCTCGGGACAGCGGTCCAAACATTCTGTAGGCATTGTGAGGCGGTACCGGCAGACTGAATGATCATGTATGCATGCATTGTATGTGTATTGTTGTGTGTAGTATTTTGGGGGAACTCACTACGCTTTGACTTACAATTGTGGATATAAATGTTTTTCAGGTACTTATTGGATGATGAAGGCGGGACTGTATACACCCATCAACAATTTTATAATTCGAGATTCCGTATTGTTTTCCTTGCAACTTTGATGTTGAATTATGGTTTATGAACAAATGGTTGGACTAGAATGTAACTTTGTAAAAATGGGTGTTTATTCTATTTTAAAATGAAAATTTTGGGACGTTACAGAAGTAAGGGGAAACGGCTTGAGTCGGCAAATAAACTCAATCATGTGGTTGTTATAGTTAAAGGGTAACCGAATTGAGTTGAGAAATTATTGAAGGTATTTCTCGAGCTTGAAATGAGACAAGTAGTCTAAAATGTTTCTCAACAATAAGAATGATAAAAGTTATAAATAGACAATGCTAAGCTGATGAGAGTACTTACCCTAAGGTGTTAAATTGTCGGGATGACCATTATTGCAAATGGAACCTTGTAACTCCTACTTGCAGGTTTTATGTTCTTATGATAGAAGTTAGTTTATCTGGAAATGTGACGAAGACGTAAGCAGGATTGAAGCTGCAAGACATGATAGTCGATGATAATGGAGCATTATCTAAAGAATACCTTATGATTGTTGTAGGAAAAAAAACGAATTCACATGATGGATAAGGATACAAGTTGGGCATCATATAATATATATGAATGTGAATTGGAACTTGAATCATGCCAGAAAAGGACTGTTAAGAAGACTATAAGAAGTAAAGGAAATGCTATAAATTTCCATAAGGAAATGAAAGAAACAATCTGCTACCTTCTGAGAATCATGTATTGTTTGGGTCTTAAAAGAAAATACCCTCCATTTTCTTTTAAGGGGTATATGGGATGTTTTGGAATACTTATCACAAGGATGACCATATTGATGAAGTAGTACAAGCAAAATTCCAGACATGACAAATTGGGACCAACACAAGTTTATAAGTTTGTTCAAGAACAATATGTGGTACCTTGAACCTTAGACAACATAAAGGGATCAAATATGTAAGATTTTAGAGTCTAAGTAGAAAAACTTCCATGTATAGACCTACATGCAAACCTCTTGTACATATAGTACTTGGTCCGAGTGTGACTGTTAATCTGGATTCAACTATTGGTCAAGGGTTGACTGGAGTTGACTTTTGTCAGTATAGTCTCCAGTTATATTAACATTCACTTATATACATCTAAAAGATTAAATTTTGATTATGGACATGATGAGTCACTTAATGATGACTAATACATGTAGAAATTAATCAATCCAAAATTGATTGTAAACGAAGACCATTGGGTAGTCATGAATTATGTAGACACATCTATACTTTGGTAATACTAAACACATAGATGAACCCTTAATCATCTATATGGTAAGTTAAGATTATGACATGAAATGAAAAGAAGCGAAAGTGTAAGGACATATGAAGAATGGAACTTATACATACGAGTATAAAAAGAGACCTAATAATTAAGAAAGAAGTATTGTGGGTGACATGGATGATGAAATATGTAGCGCTTGTTATTGGTATGTGTCACACCCCAAAACCGGAACGGCGGAATTGTTCAAGGGTGGAGGACGTCATGTTTAGTATCACGAGATATGTATATGGTAAGCAAGTAATGAACAACCATTTCATTTCGAAAGAAAGTGTTTACAATGTGTGTGTTCACAAAACATAGAATTCATAACAAATAACAAAACAAGACTTGAAGCTATAATGCTCCATCTTCTGAATTCCCAGCACGAGCACCTGTCTAATAGTCTCCTGAGAATACAAGTTATTTGAAAGAGTTGATCAGCAATTAAGCTGGTGAGTTCATAAGATTTTAGTGATGTGAGTAAGTTGTAAAGTGTTGTTAAAAATGTAGATGTAAAATGGTGTTGAAAATGTAGTTGTAACATGTAGTTGTAAAACGTTGTAAGTTGTAAGTTCTGTTTTGAAAAGTTCGCCTGTTCCTCTAGAAAAACCTATATTTCCTACTTTGATGGAAGTTTAAGTAAAATGACACTACAACCCTTTCTATGGGTACTAAGCGGATACGAGTTATATAAGACTCAGAGTAAACAAACAATCGATTGTGCGCATCTGCCCTAAGCTCACAACCAAACGAGGAACAGAAATTAAGGCGGATAGCACACATCCCATTGGTTGTTAGATCATCGTCGTATATAACCCTGGTGTAAACACTTGTTACTCATGGAGTTAATTGTAATGGTTCCTTTATATCTAATGAAAGTTCTTTAAGAAAACCCATATTTCTTATAATAAAATGGTGACCACAGTGACTACTTTTATAATAGCTTAGTTTATACTGATATATATAATCCAATATCGGATAGAAAGTTAACTGGGTGAATCTGCCCTAAGCCCACAACCAAACAAGGAATAGGAAGTAAGGCGGAAGGCACACATCCAACTACCTATTGGGTATTAGTTTTATATATAAACATGGTGTATAAACTAAGGTATTATAGAGTTACTCACCTAAGGTCCTTTAAATTGTACTGGTTTAATAAAATGGATTAAACCTTTACTGGGAAGTTTCTAGTTTTGTATACCAAAAGTACTGATTTTGGAAGTATAGTTTTGTACGAGAAAAACTTGCTTTGACTCTGTGGGTCCTATAACCTGACCCATACCGGTACCCTTATGATGACTTAATGTATACTAGCATACATATATATAGAA